ACCTTACCTGTTCTAGATCTCTTGATTTTCTTTCCCTACTCTTGGCAATCTTATAAATATTTTGCTCTCCTTCCTTCGTCTCAAGGTTCTTATAAAATTCTTCAAAAGCTTTAGAACGAGCTTCACCCACAGCTCTCTTAGTTTCCTTCTTAGCCATACGGTACCTCTCCCAATTTTCCTTATTGTTACACAAATGTATGGCTTTAAAACAGTTCTTCTTATACTTGATTTTGTCTTGTACACTATTATTCCACCACCAAGTCTCCTTATCTCTCGGACCAGAACCTTTCGATTCTCCCAAAACTACTTTTGCAACCTCCCATATCTTTTTAGTCATATCCTCCCATATGATGTTAGCACTCCCCTGAGATTCCCAAATTCCTTTATCCAAAAGATTTCGCTTGAAAATATCTTGCTTCTCACCTTTTAATTGCCACCACATAATCTTTGGTGTTACTACTTGTCGACGTTTTTGGATTTTACTCATAATACACACATCAAGGACTACGAACCTATGTTGTGTCGTTACAGCATCTCTGGGGATCACCTTACAATTTTTACAAAGTCTTCTATCTGTGTTCCTAACCAAAAGAAAATCAATCTGTGACCTTGAGGCTCCACTTTTGTAAGTGATGAGATGCTCATCTCTCTTCTTGGAACAAGTGTTGGCAATCTTAAAATCATACGCCAATGAGAAATCAAGAAGAGTTTGTCTTTCATTGTTTAGCTCTCCAAAACTAAAACCACCATGCACCCTCGCATACTGACCAGCTTCCCTCCCGACATGCCCATTAAAGTCTCCTCCAATAAAAATCTTTTCACTCTGTGGTATGTGTCGAATCAACCCCTCCAAATCCTTCCAAAATAATTCCTTAAGACTGGCTTCTGTCCCGACTTGCGGCGCATAAGCGCTAACAATATTAACAGTCTCACGTTCAATTATCATCTTTAAGGAAATAATTCTGTCTCCAATTCTGCTAACTTCTACAACGTTCTTCTTCCACTCCTTATCTATAATGATGCCTACTCCATTGCGTGCACTTACTTTTCCTATATACCAAAGTTTGAAACCTTGAATATCCTTAGTTTCTTCTCCACGCCATTTTGTTTCTTGCAGGCAAAGGATATTGATTTTCCTTTGAATCATAACCCCTACAACCTCTACAGATTTACAATTTAATGTCTCAACATTTCAAGTACCAAATCTAATTTTGCTCTTATGGACTAACTTCTTTAGCCGCGTGCGTCCAGAATGACGCGGTAGTCCTTGCTCATTTAACACTACATCCGGGCGCCGATGCAGCGGCTTTAACTGACTTATCACTGTACTCGAGCCATGGAGCGCGTTACTTACGAGCAACGACCTAGCATTAATATTATAACGTCTATTGTCCATGTTCATGATAGATTCAACAAAGTTTTACATTGGCTGTTGATGGCCTAACACAACCCTCCTCCTTTACCCGGGCTTGGGACCGGCTATAAACATAGGCGGAGTTAAAATCGAGCATTCATAGTGATATAAAATTTATGAGTGGAAGGTGAATAATACTTGTAAGCCTGTTGAGAGGATGCTTACCCCAACAAGATGCATTTGATAGCTCTTGGGTCCAATTTTCCTTTATGCTCATCATTCACAAAAACAGTGCAGCCAAAAATTCTTTGAGGTATGCCTAGCAATAGGTGAGAGTTTTGAAAAAACTTCTTGAAAACTCTGTACAGGGGTTTGAAATTTTAAAATTCTTGAGGGCATTCGATTTATTAAATATGCTGCAGTTAAGACAACTTCACCCCAAAATATTTTTGGTACATTATTTGTAAGCATTAAAGCTCTTGAAACTTCTAAAGGTGTCTGTTTTTCCTTTCAGTTATACCGTTTTGTTGCGGAGTGTTAACACAAGAGGTTTGATGATGACTCCCTTTTTCAAACAAGTATTTTTGAAAGGCTGTACTAGTGTACTCACGGCCATTATCACTTCTCAATATTTGAATTGAGGTTTTAAATTGATTTTGTACAAAAACATGAAAGCGTTGAAAAATATCAAGTGCTTCAGATTTGTTTTTCATCAAACATACCCAAGTTAGGTTTGTGTGGTCATCAATAAAAGTGACAAACCATCTAGCATTATTTGTAGTTGAAATTCTAGAAAGTCCCCAATTGTCATTGTGCATCAGTGCAAAAGGTTGGGATGGTTTATAAGGATAAGGCAGATACTGGTTCAGACTTGTTTGGCAAAGTAGCGAAAATCACAATGGAAAAAGGAGGGATTTATTTTATGAAATAAATCTGGAAATAACAATTTCATATAATTGAGACTTGGGTGGCCTAACCTATAATGCCACAACATCAACTCATTATTTGATGAAGTAGAGTAGGCAACATCATTTGCTGCTTTATTTCTCTCTCCTTTTCCTCTCAAGCAGTAGAGACCATCCCATTCTTTAGCATTGCCAATCATCCTCTCCGAAGTCAAATCCTGAAAAATACAATGAGTGTCAAAGAATGTAGCACTACCACCAAGCTCCTTGGAGATTTGTTTCACAGAGATCAAATTGCATTCAATTTCAGGCACATATAATACATTTTCTAGTTTAATATCTTGTGAAATTATCACAGTTCCAGCCCCTTCAGCCTTGGCATACGTTCCATTAGCAACTTTGACATGAGGATATGCAGATTCAATTTTAAACTCATTGAATAATTCCTTAAAACTAGTAATATGGTGAGTAGCACTAGAGTCGACTATCCAAATGTTCTTGAATTTGTGTGGGTGCTAAGTGCAGCTATGAGAGACATACTTGCTTGTGCTAGAGTAATGAATAGGTTGGAATTCTCACTGGATTGAGGAGTAACTTCATGTTTTTCTAAAAGTCTCGGGTATTGTGATTTCCTCTTGGCTTAATGGCTGTTTTTCAGATGTAGGATCGGTATATAGTCCTTGAGCTTCACCTTTGCCTCTCTGCTTATTGTGGTTGGCGGTTTCCCATGAAGTTTCCAGCAGTTATCCTTAGTGTGACCACTCTTGTTGCAGTGATCGCACTAAAGTGAAGAGTGTTTACCCTTGGCTATCATAGCAGAAGATTTTGAGTTAGTACTAGGAGTAGAAGAAGAATTAAGGTTTATACCTTGTACTAATTCTTTTTGACTATCCTCAAATTTGATGGTGTTCACAGTATCTTCAAGGGAAGGTGAAGATTTCTGTCCCATGATCCTCCCCCTTACATCTTCAAATCTGTCATTCAACCCCAAGAGAAATTCATATGTGCGTTCCCATTCTACAATCTGATGGTAGAGTGTTGCATCAGCATGACTGGTCCATTGATAGACTTCATAGAGATCTATCTGCTGCCAGATTCGCATGAGGGCGCTGTAAAACTGAGTGACTGGTTTATCTCCTTGCCTTAGGTCTTTTAGGGCTTGTTTCAGTTGAAACACTGTTGCTGGGCTTTCCTTGACAGCATACGTGCGTTTCACTGAGTCCTATATCCCCTGTGCCGTTGAGGCAACCATGTAGTTGCTGCTAACTTCCATAGTCATGGAGTTCACAAGCCAACTCATCACCATATTATTTTCATATATCCATGTGCAGTAGGTAGGATCGCCTCATTCTGGTTCTTTTACTTTTCTAGTCAGGTACTTCTTTTCCTTTCCCTCGGATGAACATCAAAATATTGCGGGACTATAGTAGGTTGTTTTCGGTCAATCTATGAGTGACCATAACATGTGGGAAGCCATCACTACTTGTCATGGCTTGCTGTTCTGGAACTGACGCACCTTCTGTGTGCGATGTCTTGGAAGACAAATATTCATCCACCTTATGAACTCTCACACTGCTGAATTGCATTTGCCTAGGAAATTGAGAACCAAACGCTTTGATACCATGAAGAATTTGGTCAAAAATATGATTATTCTATTCACAACTAGGGTATTTATCTAGGTTTAACCACACTGCACTTTCGGTTAATTCCTAGAATCAAGGTACAACCAAAGAAATATTTGAAAGAGCAATTAGAATCTTATCTAATTAATAAGATATAATAGGAAAGAAATAAGAAACTAAAGATGGCAGACTTGTGTTTCTTTAACCTTAATTATTCTTAAACCCTAACATGTTTGGGCTTAACCTAATGGGCCCAAGATGTCGTATTCCAACAATATGCCTTCATCTGAGTTACTAAGCATATTTATAATAGTAAATACAATCTAAAATAATTGAAGATCTGAATAAAATCTAAATAACTAGATATCTAGATAAGTGTTTAAATAAAATCTAAATAACTAAATATCTGAATAATATCTAAATAATATTACTAAATAGAAAATATCTAAAATAACATAAAATGATATTTATTCCTAATATATCTCTAACTTCTCAAATTATCCATTATCCCACCATAATTAGTACTCTATCAGTTTTCCTGTAGTTTAGGTTTGTCTCAGGTAGACTCAACATTGGTTTAGGAAATTTCATGCCTGGTCTTGGGTAGATTCAGCACTGGTTTTGGGTATAGTTCCCTGAAGTTACATGTAGCAAGCCAGGCCAAGGGTGTTGAATAACATCCTTTATTACAGCATCTAACAACACAGTTCCTTTTCACAGCCCAGGACCGGATATAAATCAATTACCAAGTCATAAGTTGTGAATTGGTATGATTATTGCGGGCTTAAAATAATTGGAAAAATTACACCTAGGTCCCACAGAAGAGATTTAATTACTAAGAGGTCTCATGAAATGCACAAAATACTTTAAAATCTCAAATCCTGTACATTTACAACTTGACAAAGGGCATTTACAACTTAGCAATGATGAAAATGGATTGCAATTGTACAAAATTGGACAGTGAGCATTGTTACTAATGTACTAAATGCATGATAACATTAATTGTTTTTTCTCAAAGGAATTGGTCAACTTTGTTGGAAAAATGAGATTTTATCCAATAGTAGCAAAAATGATTCAAAAAATAATATTCTTTTGACTCATCAATGTACACTTTTATAGGTATCAACCCAACTAAATCGGCTGTATTTGAAGTTTCTCAAACGCAATCCAGGATATGAGGGAAAGGTGCGTTCTGAGAACATTGGGCCATTGGCTGAATTTTGTGAATTTTAATTTTCTACTTTTATGGTCGCCTGTTTTTGCTGAATGTTGTGCAGGTTTCAATATATGGTCATTCTCTGGGAAGTGTGCTCTCTTATGATATTCTTTGCCATCAAGAAAATCTGGCCTCTCCATGTCCTATGGATTCAATGCATAAAGAACATTATAAGCATGAAAATCCACTACTCACTGTGAAGGACCATTGTTCTGGGATCTACTCATCGAGTCTTCAGAATGATACATTGAGCATGGCAAGTCTGTCTAATGAAACGATGACTGCCAAACCTGGCCCTTCAGAATTGGGGGCAGAAAATACTGGGGACTCCTTACTTTTATGTCCTGCTTTACCTAGTGTACATAAATATGCTTTGGAACATAACTCTCAGAAACCAGAGCATGAGAGAGATGTTCACGATTTCCTTTCTGATTTTAGTAAAGCACCTCATGAGAAAAATGATGCAATATTTAAGCCTGGGAATATGAATGCCAGGATTCCTGCTGATGGTTTAGAGAGATTGACTACAGATGAACATGAGAATACAAGCAACAAGGATGAAGTAATCAGAATGCTCAGGGAAGAGGTCAAGAAACAATTTCTACTATTTGTTTTTAACAATCTAAATGATCAAGACGTTTTTAATATATGGAAATCCCCTATAATTGACAGTTTTCATCATTCAGGTTGCTTCATTGAAAGGCAAGCTTGTGGAACTTGAATCACATTGTGGCAGCCAACGTTCAAAAGAAGACCGAAGTTCGGGTAGTTACTAGTGTTTTCTATTAATTTCATATATATGGTGGATGATTTTATACATTCATCTGACTTCTAATCTTTAATTGTATAACAAAGAAAAAATAATAATAAATAAATCATTACGTGTGTATGCCAGATAAACGCTTATCTGAGAAGCTTCTTTCTGCAGAAGATGCACCAAAGAGTTACACCCCTTATATCAAATACACAAAGCTCCAATTCAAGGTATCAGGAGAAAAAGAAAATTGTTATATGATGTGTATAGTTCTTCAGATATTTTATCTTTGGATTTACATTTTACTTGTTATTTTGAAAAAAATCTATTTTGTGGCAAAATATGGACCATTTTTCATTTCCATTGTACTGAAAAATTTATATTGTAATCAGCTCCTGTCTTTTTCATATGACTGAAATGCATATATTGCAGGTTGATACATTCTTTGCTGTTGGTTCCCCTCTTGGAGTGTTTCTTGCCCTTCGAAATATCCGAATTGGCATTGGTAGTAATTTCTAAGTCACTCATTATAGACTAATGTTCCTTTCATTTTTCAATGATTGTGCATTGTACTCTTGTAGAAGTGAGAATTTCTATGTTCAGATGTCGTTTTCCATATTTTGGCAGACCACATTTGTGTTTTCCTTGAGGACCTCACCAGTAGTGTGCAAATCCTGTACTGGTGACTTGAAACTTTCAAATGATAGGCTACAAATTTTAAAATTTTAGCCGACCCCACCTAGTGAGATAAGGCTTGTTATTGTTGTTGTTGGGTACAAAGTATGTCAAGCTTAGAGATTGTGTTGGAGGATGTTAAGAGAACCAAAGGAAAATAATAAATCAATAATCAACGGATATAACTGTAACTGTCTAAACTCATATTTAAAGCTAACATAACTCAAGGCTCAATGAGCAAGCATAATTTCCTGCCTTTTAGTCTTTATTCAAATCCTCTGTAATACACACAAATTGTTAGTTATATATTTAGATATACATATATCTGAAATTGCGTTAGTTGTCCCAAGTTTTTAAATTGTGGTAACTTCACAAGTAATGAAACAAATAATGAAATAGTCTTCTAATACTTCACTAGGTTCATATTGAATGGATTTTATCCACTGGTGTGTTTTAATAGAATTTAAAGGTATTAATAGAATCAGCTTTGGCCATATTTACTTCCACCATTTACTTGTTTTGTTTCCAGAAGGCATTGTTAGTATACAGGTGTTATATGTTCTTTTTCTACTTATTCCAGGAAGAGGCCAGGAATATTGGGGGGAGGAGAATATAATTGAACAGATGCCAGCGTGTCGCCAAATGTTCAACATTTTTCACCCCTATGATCCAGTGGCTTATAGGTATGTCACAATTATCAGCATAATGCATTTCCCTTTTGTTAAATATCAGTAGACATTGTGTTGGAGTCCTATTGGCATCCATAAGTAATTCCGTAGTACCTAGTGTCATATATAGTCACCTTACAATTCTGTCTTTCATGAGTGAGGTGTCCCATCCATGCCTATGTCCTCTTCACCGTAGGTGTGATCTCATAACGTAATATCTTTGCATCAGTGGTTTTCTTTGTATATTTTATTCCCCATTTGTATTTGTTCTCTGGCTTCCGTTGTTTAATTTGCTGTTAAATCATCTCAAGAACAACCAAAATTACCGCAAAAATTGATGAATGGGAAAAATAAATATTAGCATTGAAAGAACCACAAAAAAATGTTGGAGGCAAGGACTCCTTGTTTCTTTCATGCATACATGACTGTGGAAATTATAAGTGCTATTACTAAATGAACTCAATTTTTAACATTCACTTCTGTACCTCCTGTTCACTGCATTTCTTGTATATTTACCAAAATGCTGAACATCTATTTCTACTGCAGGGTAGATCCACTTGTATGTAAAGAATACATCAGCAAACGACCTGTTTTAGTACCCTATCACAGAGGAGGAAGGAGGTTGCATATTGGGTTCCAGGTTGGAAATTTTTGATGCTGCTATTGACTGGATTGGTCTGTCTTTTTTATTCCTTAAACTCTGTAGCTTGTGGTGTAGGAATTTACTGAAGACTTGGCAGTTCGCACGCAGGCAATAATGAATCATCTAAAATCTGCAAGGGTAAGTTCCTTTTTATTTGTGATGAAACCATGGAAGAATTATTTAAGGTTCTGTTAGTTTTATTTTACTTCTATATTTTGGTGAAATTTTTTTTTTTACCAGCATATATTTTGGTGAAATTTAAAGAGAAAATATTGTGAGATATGGTATTTTATTTTTCTAGTTTTTATGACAACTGTGGGTAAAATCAGTGAAGCAACAACCATGATTGAGGGATGAAAAACCTTTCTGGGTAAGGAGTAAGCCCGAACAGACTTTTCAATGACTTTGGATTGAATTTCCTGTAATTCTTCTTAATAATACTAGTATATCATTAACAATCAGAACTCTTAAAGGAAGATGAAACTTGGAATGAGGGAACGGTATTGAAATTGAAAACTAGCCACCCATAGTTGTAAATATGGCTGAATACATAGGAAGGGGGGTGTGCATTGTGTGTTGTAAAATTTTTCTTGTGCACTGAAAACTCAAGTTTGAAAATTCGTTTTCAAGAATGTTTTATCAATTTCACAAACACCATATGCGTGTAAGAAAGTTTAAAATCAATCTCCAAGTAGAAGATTTGGGTAAGTTGATACCCAACAAGTTTAGTTTTCAACGCAAATACAGGGTATATAAAGAAGATGATGGAAATATAAAAGACAGAATAGATTGATTACCAATAGATATTTATCTTAGTCAGCTTCAACCATTTGAGCCTACAAGGCCCTTGTGAAGCCACAGTACATCCCAAGGGTCACCATACCCTTGAACACTCTTCACCCCCTTACAAGATGTGATTACAATTCCCTCGAGATTTTCTAGTCTTGATCAATTCCTCTATGATCTCCCTCGTAGAGAATCTATCAAAGAAATGATAGATTACAAGAAAAGATCTCTCAGAGAGTTGGATGTTGCTGTGAAGCTCTAAAACTCAAATGATGAAGATGATACAAGTGATTGGCTCTATGAATGATGATTTTCGTTTCTAACAAGTAGGAGTAAATTAATAATCACATTTCAGCTCATTGAGAAATATAGCCATTTCAGCTCATCTTTTAACTTCCCTGTATATTAGTATGCCCCCCCCCCCCCGGGTTTGGTTAGACAATGATCTAATGACCAGTTCTACTTCAAATTGGATGGATCAAGATGAAATTCAATTATATTACAATGATTATGATTGCCATAATGTTGATCATAATTTGTTTTCACTGATTTTAACAATTGTCATCATCAAAACTGAAGTAGGGATTCCATTTTATTTTATTTTTCTAAAAAATGACCTTGATTTTTTTTTTTTTTTTCCTTTTCAACTTTAGTCACGATGATGTTAGTTGTAATTTGGGGTTTTTAAGCAGGTAAAGATCCTTACAGTTTGTCAGTCAAAGACCTCAGAGAGCATAGAAGGTAAGAAAATTAAATCTACTACCTGATTTTCTTAGCTTTGCCTTTAATTTCATCTCCTCTGCTTTTCTTTCTCGGGGAAATGGCAATTTGGGACCCATTACTTGACAATCAATATTCTTTTCATGGATCCTCGAAATAAGCCACCATCATTGTTTGTAAAAGTTGCCACTAGTGGTTTTGTAAATTGCAATGTAGTCTTTCAGATGTTACATGATGTTTTCATTTAGAAGTAACGACAAAGTTTAGATATCCTTGTAACATTGGAATGTTAGGTTGTAACTGAGGAACCTGCGTGGTGACTTTAAGAGCCGTTGTTGTTAACTTATTTTTATTCTCATTTGGAGAAATTGAGCCTGATGAGTTTTAGCTATTACTCTTTTTTTTTTTTTGGGGGGGGGGGGGCGCTAATGGGTAAAGCTATATGAGTTATGAGTTCTTAATTTTCATTTTCCCTCATTGCTTTCCTCTGATTGTGATAGCAGTGGATGTCGACAAGGGCTCTTTATAAAATAGAAAGTTTAGGATAGTCAATAATTGAATAGCTAGAATTAGTTTCATCCCCTGTAGTTCATGAAGGGGAAGTTGAATGCAACGATAACAGTGGAATTGCAATAGAAATGATTCTTTCTCACCCCCCCCACAGGGAGGGAAAAAAGACTCTCCTAGCATCAATCTAATAATATAAGAGTGATGGAACTCTTAAAAAAACCTCTATATCATCTCTATATATATATATAAGTAGAATTGCAAGCTTAGGTCTGGTGATGTCACGTGTCATTGATGTTTTTATGTTTTATTATTTATTATTTAAAATATAAATAAAATCACCTCACCCTCACATCTCTTTATTATCTCTCAAGTTCCTATTAACTTATTTGTAATTCATATTTATAATTAAAAAATCTTGTTAACTTATTTACAATTCAAATCTATAATTAAGAAATACCATAAGCTTAAATCTGGTGATGCCACATGTCATTGATATTTATACATTTTATTATTCATTATTTAAAATATAAATAAAACTACCTCATTCCCGCATCTCTCTATTATCTCCCAACTTCCTATTAAGTTATTTGTAATTAAAAAAGCACCACAAACTTGAATATAGGGATGCCACATGTCATTAATGTTTATATATTGTATTATTCATGATTTAAAATAGAAATAAAAGTAATTCACTCGCACGTCTCTCCATTATTTCCCAACTTCCTATTAATTTATTTATAATTCATATTTATAATAAAAAATCCTGTTAACTTATTTATAATTTAAATTTATAATTAAAAAAATACTTCAAGCTTAAATCTAATGATGCTATGTGTCCTTGATGTTTTTATTTTATTGTTCATTATTTAAAATACAAATAAAATGACCTCACTTCCACATCTGTCCATCATCCTAACATCCCATTAACTTATTCCTAATTTCAAATTTCAAATTTAAAAATAATTATTTTTAAAACTGTCAGAAACCACCTCCCATTATCTTCTTAAACTGTCAAAAACCAGTTCCCTGTTTTTAAATTTAATTCAAGACTGTTCTTCTATGAAGTCACCATATCAAATTATGTTTACGTTAAAGGAGATTGGGTGGGAAACCTTCCCACCTTCCTCTTCCTTTTTTTTCCTTCTTCCCTTCCCTACTGTATTTAATAATTTCTTCTTCTTCTCCATTTGTTTCCTCAAGCGGTGTTTCTCTTATGGTATGTAATAATTCTTTTTCTTGTTGAATTCTTTTCATTACAGATTTGTTGTTAAATAAGTGCATTTTCAGTGCTCTACAATTGATTCACATTTGAATTTCATGTTTTGATTGTGCACTCTCATTCTTATTTTTCTTCATTGTGATCATTTGCATGATTATAAGCTTTTATAACATTATTTCAAGTCAGCCTTCCATATTTATATTTCCGTAAATTCATCTTAAATTTATAATTTCTTATTTATAATTTGTATTTACAAGCCATATCAACATTTTATGAATGGTTCTAATATTCAGAAAATATACAACAATCATAATATATTTATCAATATTGTAGATAGATGACTTTATCTTTCCTTTTATCAATATATTTATCAGAAAATATGCAACAACCGTAAATGCAGAAGATTGATTTATGTAGCAAAGAATGGCCTTTTGAGAAGATGGTATTTTAAAAAAGAAGAAGTGATTGAAAGATGTTTTACTTTTCATATCATATTTATAACATATATTGACAATTCTTCTGTTTTTTTGCAATATATGTTAATAATACCCATTTATTTGATTGTTGCTGGAGTGATGATGTCAAGATTCATTGAGGGTAAGAAGGATTTAACTCTTAAAGTTTCAATTTTATTATTAGATTCTGCTTTACCATTCAACATTTACAATATTAGTCCTTAATTATATTATTTTCTGTCATCATGATGATAAATTAGAATCAGCATCAAATCAAAATCTTTATAATGTTAGTTTTACTTTCCTAAACTTGTATTCATTTATCAAGCTAAAGCACATATCAAGCAAGACTTGTAAATATTAATTTTTTTATTAAAAACCCACCAAACACAACTTTAAATATTATTTATAAAAAAATATTATTCAAATATCTATTAAGTGTAATTTAGAACCAATGTATAGTATCTCTAAATTTAATGTACAAGTCAATTATTTTTATTTAATAATAACTCATTGTTTATTTAGATTATTTTCTTTTATACCCGGTGCATAGCATGGGGCGTGTGCTAGTTAATAAAATGGAAGTATAATGTTCCAATCTAAGAATTTGGATATGGAAATGTGGCAGGTTATGTCACTTGTGAATCTTATGGTTTAGCCGTTTAGGCCCAACAGTATCATCGACGCACACATTCTGTTTCTTCAGTACATTTAGAGACTAGTATCACATTTATCTAACTTAGCCTCTCATACAGACCAGTATCTATTTTGGCTAAATTCAGTTCTGGGCTTCTGCCATTGTCATCATCTAATTAACCCTACCTGATCTAACACTCAGCCTTCATTTTGCCATTGTCATCATCTGCTCCTACTATAACAAAATTAATTTGTGATTCTCGCCCATTCTGACATTTTACACTCAGCTCTTACAACTATGCAACATTGCACCTTTCTCTTCATCAAGTCTACCACATGTATCATTGATACCCCTAGTTGATGGAATATGGGATTATGAATGACAACAACAAGAAGCTGTATCTCACTAAGTAGGAGAATGAAGCCGTATCTCACTAAGTAGGAGAATGAGATTATGGATAATTAAGATCATTTGATTATTTTCCTAAGATAATTAGGATTCTTTGTTTTAAGATATTTTATTTAAATAAGGATATTTAGTTACATTTAAGATTAATTGAGATTTTTGATTAAAAAAAGATTAATTAGGATTTAGTAGGATTTCTTATTATTATCTGTATCATTATTTTAGATTTTATTTTTAAATGGGGATAAATATTTCCCTGTGTTTTCTTTATGTATTCGAGAAAATAGGGAGATGGTTACATATAGGGAGGATCACAACAGCTAGTAATAAATGATTCACTACCCCCCCCCCCCAAAAAAAAGTCAAAGATAATAAACAATGCCGTAAAATGGATTTGAAATAATAAAAGGTAATACAGCCCAAACAACTAGCAGCCACTAAACTCAACTAAACTAAAGAATTATTAACAAGGTCCTTCATTTTACTCTTGGGGAGTTTCAAATTAATTTCTTGTTTCTTTGTAAATAGTCAACTTTGTAATTATGTCGTACTTATGTATAGCTGTTACAGGATTTTGGTTGCTTGCCAAACACAAGGGATAATATTCTCCTGTATTTTCTTGTCATCCTATAAATACTTGTACCCATCCTTTGTTAGTTATTCACAGCACTTTGCAAGCCATTTACGGCCTATTATGTGGGGATGTTTATTTAATTATGTTTATGCTAAATTAATAATCATGTGCTGGATACATGGTTTCTTTCTTGTTTAAAATAATGTGCCAATTGATCTTTTGAATTGTATGTTTTAATATTCCCAAGATGTTGCAGGAGATAATTCGGAAGAAGAGGAAGAAACATATGGATCTCTTACGATGGAGAGGTTAACAGGAAGCAAGGAAGGACATATTGATCATATGCTTCAGGTTTGCAGTTACATCAATTCGTTTTGATCTCAGTCCAACTCCCTGATGTCAGGAAGTAGAACCGCTGCTAATTGAACATTCATAACAATCTATAGTAATTTGTTACTCAAAACTACACTTACAATATCTAAGTGTAATTATAAGTAGGGAATTCACAATTTTTTGATTCCTATAATTTTAACATGTTTCGATATAGGTTCTTGTAATTTTTTTTTTTTATTCTAGGTCCCTCTAGTTTATTTTGTATGTAATGTTAGTCCTTTTAATTTTGAATGAATATGCTCAAAAGAATGATGATGTAGCACTAACGGTTTTAAATTTTTTGACTTGTCACTAAAACCGTTAATATGGAGGGGAAAAAATGAGTCCAGATCTTAAATGACAAAACTAGCATGTGCAGTGACCCCCACTTAATCGAAGGTTATTAGGACAGTAGTTGAAGGGAAAATGCTTGACCCCCATTGACCCCACTTACTCGGACACCAGAATACACTATCGGACATTGTCCTTCTAGGCATTAATGACATGACATGTCAATATATTTAAACATCATTAGTGCCATCCCATCATCCTTTTGGACATATTCAAAAGTAGAGTGACTAACGTTGCAAATGGGATAAATTAGAGGAACTTGGAACAATGAAAAAAACTTATAAGAGCCTATTACAAAACATGTTAAAATAAATTACAGGGACCAAAAGTTGTGTTATCACTTATAAGTATAAAAGTATTTTTCATTTTGACATAATTATATATAGATGACATGACTATTTTTTTAATGCAGGATAAGACCTTTGAGCATCCTTATCTGCAGGCCATTGGATCACATACGTAAGTGCTTTATGGATTTAGAAATGTAATGATGTGAAATTGCTATGATTTGAATGGTACGAGATACCATCCAAAAATGGTGTTAATCCATGCCTGGTGGTATACTAGATCCCACCATAGATGTTAAATGCTGCTTGACATCTAAGTTGCCATTGTTCAAGAGCTAAACGTACCAAAAATGCCTATTTAGTCTTTAGCATATGAGTGAAGTTTATTTGCTTCCTGTTAGTTGACTGATATGATTTTGATATGTATTGGCGAAGTCCTAGTATTTATGAATATTGCTTTGGTGGACAGGAACTACTGGAGAGATCATGATACTGCTCTTTTTATCTTGAAACACTTATATCGAGATATACCCGAGGAACCTAACTCATCTGTTAAATCTAGTAATGGCAAAAAGAATGAGGCTGGTTCTGCTGGTTGGATTGATCCAAGAGAGAAAGTTGAGGAAGAACTTCCTTTAACGTTCGCTGACAATACCATGGTCAGGAACTTCTCAAGAAAAGCCAAAAAAGTTCTGAACTAGCACCATTTTCAGGTGACTTTCACTTCCTCTATTTTTTGTGCAGATTATATCTGAGGTGAGATTTTCCATCTGTCCTCTCCCAACACTCAATATGGGTTTCATACTTCTGCATGACGTAATGGAGATTGTATAATTTATTAGAGGATGAACATTAGAAAGGATTCTTCTAACGTAGGGCTGTTTCTCTTGGTTGACGATCATAGAATTTCTGTTTAGTCCACGTTAATGTACATAAAGTAGAAAAACAACTGTATAATATTATTCCAAATAATTAATCTGTATAGTTCCAAAAAAAATTGGAGGTTTTAAACATTTTGACTTTGTAATCATTCTTTTTTCAAAGTTTGAAGTTATTATTGATGTTGGATGCCTCTTATTTCTCTGAATGCCTTTTATCTTCTAGTTTTCTTCCACCCAGTTCGTTGCTATAGTAATTTCCATTCTGAATCGTAGATCTTCTAAATAAAGAACTGGCCGGATAATATTGAAGTATGGATGCTTTTTTCTTTTTTAATCTGTATTGAAAATTTTAACTGAGAATATCTAGAAATTGTGTCTATGGTTCATCTTAGTGTTCAACTTTTGAAGTTAAGGTGTGCATAGAATACGTCTGGCATGTCCGACTGTTCTAATCATGGTTGAGAAAATTGGAGGGGGGTGCTTGGTTTGGTTTATAAGACAATGGGATTGTTCAAGGGGAAAAACAGTGAGGATCAAGAATCAATAAATACAGAGGAAAGAAGCAGCAGTTGATTAGTTTCGACTTTAAAGTTGAGAGTATTTACTTAAAACAAAATAATGTTAGGTTGTCTAGCTGTAGATAAACTTAAGACAGTATGGGGAATCTCACGTCGAATAAAATTAGATTTAATATATAGTAAAGAAGAATGATCTATAAATTTAAAGTTTGGAAATTTTGAGCTAAGATGTGATGTCCTTTTGTTATTTTTCCTCATTTTTTCTCTCCTTTGTTTTTGGGTGATTGCTCTCCATTCCTAATAACTGGTATTAAAAGTAGGTTGATCATTTTTGATATGGGGAGCTTATGGATTTAAACTTAAGGAGGAAATTATGATGTTGTTTAACTGTAAGTGAACTTAAGATAATGTGAAAAGTTTCACGTTGAATAAAATTTAGCTTGATAACTAATGTATAATAAAAAAAAACTTATAAACTTAAATCTTGAGTTAAGAAGTAATGTTTGTTTATTATATTTGCTCGTTTTTTTTCTCTTCACCCATTTCCAGGCAATTGACTCTCATTCCTAACAAATAACAACAACATGATGTCAACACTCAAATATTATAGAAAATAAAATCAAGATAGGGTGTTTGTTTAAGATTAAAAAATAAATAATTTTTAAATAGTTTAAATATTTTATAAAAAGATACTTTTTTGTAGAGATTTTATAAAAAGCTAATATTATTTTATATAAGATTACAACAATAAAAAGGTGATTATTAGTTATTTATAAAGTTTACAATTTTTTTCTTGAATAATTTTTTATAAAAATAATTTATTATTTAATTATTTAAAAATTTTATAATACTTTTGTGTATTCTGCATTTTTAAAACATTTTTTCACTTACTATATCAGATTATTTTTAAAATTATTCAAAATAATTATTTAAATTAATTAAAGATATGCTTTTCTTTTTTAATATAAAAATTTAAACAAACATTATAAAACTCACAAAATAATTTTTTTTAAAGAAAATAAGTAGGTTTTTTTATAAAATAGGTTGAAACAAATGGGCTCAATAAAAATATAACCATTCTTTTCTACCAGCAACAGTTACTGAATAGGTGCTTCGGCCAGCCATTGAACTAAACCAAATGGCTCTTGCCCAATCACAATGAAGAAGCAGAAACAGTTAATTGCAAAAAATGCATGTGGTATCCAGTTGCACATAATGCCTGGCAAGATTAGCTTTAATTGGCAATGCCTCTTTTACAATTAAGATGAAGGCCATTTTTGCTCTTGAATTTTACGGCTCGATTTGGAATCATTTCTATTCCAAAACATTTGAAATGTGGTTCATCCTTCACTTTGCCGTCAACACACCTGACGTCGATTAGTAAGTCCCATCTGTCCGTATTTTTTAATATTTTTATTATATTCACTCTTTCTCTCAATATTTTTTATTATAAAATATTCACACTCTCTCTTCTCCTTCTTCCTCTCTCTCCGTTTCCCATCTCCCTCTCTCCTCACACGCTCATCCATCTCTTCTCTCGGCATGAGAAATAAGCAAAGGAGAAGAGCTCAAGTGACGTTGCTTGCTTTTGAACAAAGGATTCGCTTCTGCTTAGGCCTGTGTTGAGATTAAATAGATAATCCTTTTTATATGAGCATTAAGGCTAGAAACAGCGAGAGAGAAAGAACGATAAACACACAGAGAATAATTGAGAGACAGGTAGAAGAATATAATCAAGAAGAGAGAAACACAAATCGGGTAGATATTGATGATGGGTCGGGTTGAAGAGCCCCATTGCCTTTTATGACAAGTTGGGTCGAAAATACCCATGCTAAAATAAATCTGGACTTAACAAAATCATGAAACACATGGAAGATATACTTGGGCTTTACAATCACCTATACATGCCTATATATAGCCTTGTATATCAGAAGACCAGCCCGGTACACAAAAAATGATAAATCTCATCTACGGCTCCCAAAAGTAAAAAAAAAAAAAATGAACTTCGAGTCTAATGCATTCTGAAATTATTCTGCAGATCTAAAGGTCCCTTTTTAATACAAAGCCACTGAAAAAATCGTATAGATGGACAAAATCATGTCATGTCACAAATCATAAGATTTCTGCACCTCAGTTGGATTATTAAAGATCACTGTATCTAAATTTTCTCTAGAGGGTTGATATGCAAGCATATCAATTGAATATGTTGATGCTACAGCCATTGCCAACCTTCCAACATAATCTAGCAGTTATCAGCCTACCGACTTTTCATTCCCTTCTTCATTGGTGATTCCAGAGACGTACTCCTTCAGGACCATAATATAGAGTATATACTAAAAGCGTTGCTTGATATAAAATATAAGGCATTAGGTAATTTTTATAATTATTTTTTGAATTATACCAATACTTCATTTGTTATTCTTTTTGAAAAAAAATGATGCATTGTAATTTCAGTTGTTATTATTAAGGCACTTATACAAAGTATTTAGTGAGAGTATATTGGAAAAGATGCAAAAAAATTTCAAGAAATTAAAGTCTCAACTACTTACTTTTTTTAAAGAATAGTAAATTGATACGAAAAAAGAAATACTTATCAATAAAAAATAAGAAAAAATTATTATACGTAATTGTTTAGAACAATCATGATGATGATATAAAACAATGTCACTAATTTTTTTATTTAAAAAAAGGAAAATGAATATCAAATTAAAAAAGTTACATCAACCTGACAAAATGAAGAATTAGGATTAATGTGTACAAATTACTCTCTGTCTTATTTTATAAGATATTTTCGTAGATTGACTTGATGTTCCTGATGTTCCATAATATAAGATATTTTGACGAAAAGTGATTTATTAATAAAACCGTTTATGGTGTTTTTGGTGCGTGGGTATGCACCTAACTTTTAAATTAGACAGTGAGTTCCTGGAGGTCCTTTGTCACAATTTCTATGAATAGAAGTATTTAAAAATAGAGAGATGAAGTAAAATGCAAGAACTGGATAACGAGAGCCGGTTCTACTGGGTGGTGTTGCATTACTAGATGCAAGGGACCCGTTCCTCAATGCTTTCTTATGGACGCATGCTCATCTGGAGGAACCACATCTAATTCTAATGAAGAAGGAAGTGTCTTTTATGTTTTTCGAGTATTGGTTGATGTGTTGAAAAGTTGGCCCTTGGCATGTGTGTTTTGGTTCCCTTTTTATAAGCAAAAAAAGGTAATTTTTCTCATGATTCCATGCTCCGATCCCCTAGTTAGGGCTAACAACTGCAGTTTTCTTCTATATTTTCTCTATTTCCTCACAGTTCCATACGTGTAGTTTCCTTCCATTATCCTCGTACATTTTAGAAGTATAAGTTGGGCTTGAGCTGAAAGTTAACTTTTATCCCGACAATTTAACTTCTTCCCTTCTAGAAGCTTGAGTTGGGTTTAACCCAAAATTATATTTTAGCTAAATAAGAAATTATTGCAAAATTATGTCTTATCAATGGTGGAGCCACATTGGTTTGAAAGAGTGCAAATGCACCCTCTTACTTTGGGAACAATTACAAGTGAGGCATATAAAATTTATGACGTTACATCCTTTGCTCTTGATATTTTAGATCCTCTAAATTAAATGCAAAATATTTAGACTCAAAAATTTATTAAATATATAATGTTTTAATAATTATGATAAGATGTGAAGGATATATTTACAATAAAAGACTATATCAATTTGTTCGATATAATTTTTTAAAAAACTAAAAAATGATGATAAAACTATTTATGTTATTATAATTTTAGTCCTCGTATAATTATTATTTTAAAAAATTATTAATTTTGTATTAAAGTATTTTGCACCCCTTGACTTGGGATCTGGCTCGCCTTTGCCTCTCATACACCTCTCAATAAAAAAAAAAAAAAAACAAATTCACATCAATCAGCTCTAAGCACAAAGCTTTCATGATGAAGGCGGGATGGGGTTTACTTGAGAAGAGTCTTTGAGGGCTCAAGTGATCCGCTCTAAGTACGAATGCGGCAATGATCTTATCTCTAAAATTGAAAGATCTCGGGCTCAGGGTCACTGTTCTGGCAGGGGATCCTTAATAACTGGGATTATGTGGAGAAAGGCTTGGAGAAGATAAGATCACTGCAAGTACTGGCGTTGAGACTGCTATGTGGAAGGCTGACATGCATGGCTCTTTCTCACTGAAATCAGCGTATGAACTGTTGTGTGGAGCCATAGATGAGATTAATCCTGAATGGAACTGCCTCTGGAAGTTACAAATACCACAAAGATGCAAGACATTTATGTGGGTCACCTTGCCTTGCATGATAGATTAATTGTTGATTAATCAATCAAGATGTAGAAGGAAGATGAGCTCTACTGACCCAAATTGTGGCAAGCGTGGTACGATAATGGTGGAAGATAGCCTACATATGCTTCGCGACTGTCCTGACTCCTGAAGCTAAGCAAGTTTGGTTTCGTCTTGTTGCACCAGCTAAGAGAAATCAATTGTTCACAGTTCCCTTGCGGACTACTTGTCCGTGTAATTTGCGAACTAATGGTGGAGACAATGAGGAGCATTTGGGGGCATCGTTTCTGGTTCATTGCTGGCTCCTATATATATATATATATATATATGTATACATATATGTGGTAGAGGTGTAACGAGCCACTAT